CTACAGGCATTAGTCGACGTATCTTTTCATGTGCCTCTTTTGTGCAGCAGCAGAGATTACGGATGCAGAACTCAGCCCATTCCACCATGCCAGGGTTCTCCTCATCAAACCGCGTACTCGTGAGAACTGCTGAGAGAAGTGCCGAATTGCTTACAATGAACGAACAGGCTTCAACATTGTCAAGGGTAAGATTTGCCATCAGACGCATATGTTCTGTCCTGTGTCCTTCTTGAAAAAATGCAATTTCGTGTTCACGTGGGATGCTCAGGGCGTCCTCAATGTAACTCAATACATCACGTTCCATCAAATACATTTGAAGGGCCTTGACCAACCGGGGGTGACTCACCAAAATAAGACAGAGCAACTCCACGGCAACATGAGACAAGTGCGCCCCTGTTTCCAGCCACGCCTCAGACCCATCACGAAACTCCTCTACACTGCTGTTTCGTGGAATACCATCCGTATCCATAAACTCCGCACAAGTGCTAGATGCTTCACTACAAGTCTTATCATTCCCAGAGGCGTACTTAGCCTTCAGATGTCTCCCTGTGCGGCGTACTATATGGGGTGCAATGCTTAGTGCGAGGTCAGCCATTCTTTGCAGGACCCGCTGAAAATGAAGCATCTCCTCACCCTCCTCACGCTTGGCTTGAAACGCAGTTTTATCAACCGCTTGCTCCAATTTAAACTTCAGAGCGTAATTCCGCAACTCGCTATCCGTTTCACATAAAATCAGCAACGAGTCCACCTTGGCGCTTATAAGCCGGAGTACCTCAGTGTCAGCATCCTTAATGGAGACATCGCAGCCAGACATTTTCTTTTCTCCTATTGCCCCTATAAAAGTGAAAAGAAAACATAAATATGCACACACACACACACACACAGAGAGAGAGAGAGAAAAGAAATAAAAAGAAAAAAAGAAAGATAGAAAAAAAAAAAAAAAAATAACGTAACTGTCATGAAACTCAAAGACTGGCCGTAATAATAAAATAAAATAAAAGAAAAACAAACAAACAAAACAACACACACACACACAAAAAAAAAACACGCAAACTCACGACTAACTCCCATGCATTCACAAGCAAAACGGTCCGAAAAGTTTTCCTGCAAAGCACCAGAGAGGTGCAATTCAAATATAGCCACATCGGATACGACAGGCGCATCATATCTTGAGACTACTGTGAAGAAACTCGTTTTATCCCTGTCGGTGGCGCTAAGAAAAGCGCATTTCCAACGAGAAGTGAGGGCCACACAATTTTTTCCAGAAGCCGAGCAGCGCACCGCCAGCCTTCGATTTTACTCGCCATCCAAAAATTTTGTTGGCACACCCGACCTTTAAAGTAGAGGCACCTTCAGAGAGAGAGAGAGAGAAAAAAAAAAAAAAATAGGGGGGAAGAGGAATAAGAGGACAGGCCGCAATGCATGCATGAGCCTCAAACATCGGCCGATACAAAACAAACAAAAAAAGGACACAAAGACAAAAATAAATTGGCGGAAGACAGCTCCAACGCAATGCCAACTATTTTTTCTTTTTTTTCCTCCTCTCTCTCTCTCTCTCTCAGCTTCTCCTTCACAGAATGCATCCGATAACGGCAGGGGGTGACACGCATCCATTTCTTTGCAGGTTATGAGGCGACTTGACTGTGGCCGAGGGAAAAATGAATACATCGAAGGATTTTGTTCAGGCAGCCCCCTTCAGGAGCGGGTTCACTCCTCCTGCACACGTCCCCCCATGTTGCAGTAAACCCGCCAAACATCACCGGCAATAGAAGAACATGTCATTCATGCCGTCCCACCTTCCCAACTTCCCCGCCATGAATGAGAATTCAAAGAGAAGAGAAAATAACAACAACAAGAAGAAAAAAATTAATTCTCTCCGAATGATATAACTTTTACTTTTTTATTTTTATTTTTTTAAATAAATTTCTTCCCTTCTTTCAGGGCTGCGGGCCGAAAACCTGTTTTTCATCCTGCGGCCCCCTTCTGTACACGATGCCTACAATCTCCTCGGCACCACCCCCTCTCGAGCATACGTCATGAAAAGACCGGGTATCCGCAAAAACCGTAGGACAAGAAAGCCGCAATGGAGGAGCAAACACGGTGGATCTGCACAATGACAATAAATACCAGTCCTAATAAGACCACCCAACAATCAACCAACCCACACACACATATTACACGACACAATCAAAATCCATACAACGTCAAACAAACAAACAAACAAACGGAAGGAATAAAAAAACTAACACCGTATCCTCCTGCGGTGCGTCCTCCTTGTGGAAGGAATACCACTCCTCTCCTCTGGAAGGCCACTAAACGGGCCTACTTACTTCGGTCGGTTGTGGAAACGTGCTCCAACGCCTCGAGATGACGACGAGGCGGGTAAAGAAGGAGCATCCTTTACTTCCTGCAGTTTCACTCCGGATGGGTTCGCCTCTAGGAGAGCCCGGCCTGGTCCATCTACGTAATACTTCGGGTTCGGGCACGACGGGACCTCGCAGTAGATGGGAAGCGTCGCAACCCACTCACCCGAGGCGCGAAATTTATGTCCACAGGGGCACTGCCACTCCCGCTCCTCGAATAAGGTGTTTGTCATCTGCATTGCCCGATCAAAGGCCTCTTTTAACGAAGGCGGGGCGCCGGACGAACTGACGAGGGCATTCCTTGCCTTTTGCCCCGCCTGACGAGAGACGAATGTCTTAATTTTGTCAAGCATCCTCTTCAGCTGGTGAGGCACACAAACAAGAGAAGGAGACAGAAAGGAAAAAACACACACACAAAAAAGAAATTTACAAGGAGCAGCAGCAGCAGAAGCGACGGCGGCAGGACATGAAAAAAACCCCAAGAGAACATCTGGCCCTCTCACACACAGTGAGCCTCATCCTCGGCAGGAAAGGGCAAAACAAACACAAACAACCAAACAAAAACTGGAAATAAAAGGCGCCGTTTCACCGCGAAGGCCCACCCTTTCCAGCCGACGGAAAGAAAAAGTCATAACTCCACTTGGCCCTCATCCACGCACGTCTCGCGCTCATGACAAAAACGTATCTAAAGTTTACTTGTGTCCGTTTCGCCTCCGAATGCTTGGCCGCCTCCAGATCCTTCACATCAATTGCATATGGATGACGATGACATCGACAACACCGCCGGAACATCAGAAATAAAAAAACAACAACAAAACCTTCCACTTTCCAAATACGCTGTGCTTTGGCCTATTGAATGAAACTCCCTTCCACCACCACCACCAATACCGGCGGCAGCAGACTGTCAAGAGAAACAACAAGAGAAGGAAGGCAACGACAATCATGTAGCACATAAGAAGGAGGATAAATAAAAGGGACAAAGCGAGTTCATACGCACCACAGAAGATGTTTCATCTTATTAACGAATAAACCCATCATTTCGATCAACGGAAGGAAGTAAAGAATGAAAAAAATCTCCACACAGCAAAGAAAAAAGGGGAAAAGGAATAGAGGAAGATACGAATAGATAGATAGATGTAAAAATTTACTAAATACCCAAGAAGGTTAGCATCGATACACATTAAATGCACAATGCAACAGCCAAGATAAAAAAAAACAAACAAACAAAAGGAATATTTATTCACCGCATCCCCTCCCTTACCTTCTCTCATTATTGTCCAGAAAAGACAAAACAGAGAGTCCCACAAACTGCACACAATTCAGAACACATGGCGGGGTGTGGGGGGTGCTGCCACCACTCACTCCTTCAAACATACATACCAATCCATGAGTTCATATACACCAACAAGTCCCGGCTGCGTGCTAAAAAAAAAAAAACACCATGACTCCGTTCATTGTGGGAGATTCTCTGGCGGTGGTGGTGGCAGGGGGTTGGGGGGGATATCATTACGAAAAACAAAAACAATAACACTACCTCTTGTTGGTTTCCTTGTTATATTTATTTTCTCCACACCTCATTTCATTTTATTTCCTTTTTTCTATTCTTAAATTGTATCTCGTGTTATTTCCATTTATGCGCCCCGCTGGGCACATTCCAGCAGGGGCGTATGTGGGGAGGTGACGGCGGGAGGTCACAGGCGGTTTCACGTGCGCCAACTCACACAAACAAACAAAAATAACCCCCCCCCCCCTTCCACTCCGCAGCGCACGCAGCACTAAAAAAACATTAGCCATCGAACATCACCCACACGCGCTCACATATAAAAACAAACAAAACAAAACAAACAACAAAAAACACACACACACACAAAAAAAAATAAAATAATAAAATATATACCCCCATACATAAACCGTTCCTAAAAACCACTAAACAAAATTGTAAAGTCTCTTCATAAAGGAAATCCTCATATACTCAGCAGCTCACTGACACAAACAAACAAAACAACCCCCCCTAACACATCCACACACACACGAAAA